GTGGTCTGGCATTATCATCGGTAGCCATGTTTTCGCGATCGCGTCTCGCTTAATAATGACATGAGACATCTTTGTTTCAGTTTATTTAGGAGAGTACATACGTGTAAATGCAATTATAAAGAGAGATAGTCATACATGTCTCAAATCAACATGTGCATATGGATTGAAATTTGAAGTGACACTATCGGACAGAACTTTCCGGTAGACCTAATATATTATGATTGGATTGCGGATTTTATGCGTTCATGACGAAAAATATCGAAATATTCAAATATCAAATTTGAGGATATTGTCAGATTATTCTTAACTTGTTGTAACTATTAACCCTTTTAGTGTCGGAGATCGATATATCGGCCCTCGCTGCACTGGCGAAAAGTGCCAGAGCCGATATATCGGCCCGCGCCTTGTAGCGTTATAAATAAATAAATACGTTATAAATAGTCTAATTTCATTGCGAGAGAAAAATTAGCGTCACCGTTTTGTTCTCTATTTTGTCCTTAATACACTGCTTTTTCAATTATGTAAATATTGCTTTTCGTTTGGTTTTCATGAGCCTCTTTCGAAATCCTATTAAAATCGTAAAATTCGGCCGCTTATCCTTCGCGCAAGCGCCTCTTTTCCGCCCGGCACTAAAAAGGGTTAAAATAAAGTTGACAAAGTTAATGATAAAGTTAACAATTTTATTACTAATATTTACTTATTCGCTTAACATTATAACATACGCTACGTACATAATAAACGAAAAACGCAGGAAAAATAAAATAAAATATTGTAAAAGTTAAAAATTCAAAAATTGCTGCTGTAGAATGGAATTCGGCAAAGCGAGGGACTTATTTTTGTAACGACGTAAACACCTTCGCGCAGGTTCGAGCTCGAAATATTCTAAACATCTTGAAATTTCAGAATATATTTTTGTTTTCGCTAAAATTACAATTTTAAATAGCCAATGGTCGCTACTTTTTACGCGCGACGAGTATACTCTCGTCGAACACGGCTAACCGGTTAACAATTTTTATTTCGCATAAAGATCCTCGGTCTAATTATAATCGTATACTTTGACAAAGTCGAATTGCACCTAACAATGTCTCCCAGAAATATTTTTGTAATATATATTTTGTTTATATATATATATTATTTATAATCTATTATATATATATATATAATAATAATACATAATAATAATATATATAATATAATATAATAGAATAGAATTATATTATATTATATAATATATATTATATATATTATTATTATGTATTATATATATATATATTATATAATATAATTATAAAATATAATATATATATTTATGTAATATAACTGTTAAAGAAAAAATCAGAAACCTCGGGTCTTTAACGACCCGCGTTGTTCCAGGCAAAGATGTCGAACAGACTTCGGTTTACTACTCGAGTCACTCGAGCATGCACCACCAGTACTACCAGCAGTCGCATCATCAGATGATGTCGACCTCCCACCACCATCATCACCACCACCATCACCAGCAGGGCATGCCGACCGGCTACGAACTGATGCTGCCGCCGCCCCAACACTCGATGTGACCGACGGACGATGAGTCCGACCGAAACCACCCCGAAGACGCGAACCGTCAGACCGACAACAACGCTTTCGGCCGGGTGCATGCGTACGCCTGACTCGACGTCTTCGCCACGGAGCCATCGTCGCTCTTCGATCATCGGCAGACGGCCATATTCTTCCCGGCGGCTTGACGAGCTACAACAGCAGTCCCGAGAGAAGATCGCGCGAGTGACTTGGAACATTGACGAGTTACGTGCATAAGCAGACTAAGTTGTTTCTGTCGGTGATCGACGAAGTGATTCCGAAAGGACACGGCTCGCGCCATTGGAAGTGTTAACGGAAGAGAAGCTGCCTGTTTCGAAGCGATTGCTACCATACCACGTGCGAACGACCACGGCTATAACGATCGGTCGAGCCATTGCTGAGCAGTTTCGGTCGCCAATAAAGAGGCGAGCGCGTCCGTAAACGATTTGGGAGGAGTCTGCCGTGAAGCAGAACTGGTTTCGATCAGCAACCATGCGCGATAGCTCGGCCCATTCGGGAAGAGAGGCGTCGACAATGGAGGACGTTGGAGCGTCTTCCACCCCGTTTGAAGATGCCCGAGGAGATTCCGACCGTGCCGAAGCGTCGATCGAGCCCCCGAACGATTCCCCGAACGATTCCCGTTTCGACCAAAAAGAACGAGTTCCCGTTGCGAAAGAAGCTCCATCGCTCGCCGCTACGATTCTGGCACGCGCTCGCCTAAACTGTACATACAAAATAGAATAACCACGTTCGAATCCAACTGTGAAATATATTTTTGACTGTGGGTCTGCGTGCGTTCCCGAGCGACGCGATCTCCCGTTGCGTATCCTAAATAGAAATGAAAGATCTCTCGCGCTAACGACACTGCTTTCACGGAAATTAATTGTAAAGTTGTGACGACGAGCATTAGATATGTATAGAAATAAAACATGGATGCGTGAATTATATATCTGTGGTATTTATTTTTCCCACCGTAATGTCGGATAATCGAGAATTCGTGAGCTCGAAATTATGTTTCATTTCAGGAGATTTTCGATTTGGGATTTGTTCGATCGTGTACGTGCATGCGAACAGTCGGCGATACTGGCGCATCTTGTGGCGATATCGGAAAGCTTCTTTCTACCTCCGTACTGCGCCGGTTGGGGTAGCGGCGAAACGCTGAAACAGTTAGCCAAATTACCGACAGTCGATTTCGGCTAACGGTTTCAGCGTTTTGGCCACTACCCGATCGGCGCTGTACGGAGGTAGAAAGGAGCTTTCTGATATCGCCATAAGAGGCGTCCCTATCGCCAATTGTTCGCATGCACACACACACATGTATACGATCGAACAAATTCAAATTGAATATCTCGATTGAAATAAATAAAACACAGAAATGTATTTCACGCATTCATGATATTCGTATTGAATAAAATGTACTTCTTCACTGCGACTTGATATAGTAGCAACATTCTTAAACAATTTTTCAAGTGAACCATAAATATAATTTGCTTTTTATGGTACATGTATATTTTGTTCATGGAATATCATGTATCGAGAAGATTTGATTGAAAAGAACAGAGAGAGAGAGAGAGAACTAGATAGTGTCCTTAGTATATTTATTTTTTTCATATGAATTATGTATATACATGTGGATTTTTTTTTAGACAAGTGACACGGGTCTCCGTGCAAACTCCAGTCTCGTAGTGTTCGAGCTTATCCTTTCAATGTAATGAGACAAAAAAAAGGATGTTTTTCCTGATGGCGCAGGTGATAAAATAAGATGACTTTGCAATGCGGACTACGATACACGTAGCAGCGCATTCTACTGCTAAGCAGTTTCATCACATTGTCAATTCCTGAAACACGTACAAATTACCGAATTAAAACTCTGAAAAATACAGAGATAAATCTTTGCCGTATAAATGCTTGATCAGATATCTAGAATTTACAGCAATGTTTCACTTCAGACGAATAGAATATGAAATCACATACTGGGTGGGAATTCGATCGTTATTCGTATATTATATGAAAAAACAGTAGAATATAAGTGATCTCGCAATACTTACCATAATAGCATTAACAATGTCGTTATTATTATTTTTGAGAGCTTTAATAGCTTTCCCTCGTGATACATTGGCTTGACAAATAACCAAATCGATGTCTTTTTCTTCGACTCCTGTCTCATCTATCTCTTCCTCCGACTCCTCTTGTATAGGTGCAACAACCTGTAGAAAACAAATGTTGAGAGAAATGATCACGGTACATTAAGAAAATTGTTATAAAAAATCAATTGTCTTACGGTAGTACTGCCGCCAGCCTCAGTTGCTGGAATAACAGGAGGTTCCTTGAATTTCTCAGCAGCTGCTACTTGAGCTTGTTGACTCAAATCTTCGATCTGAAGGAAAATTTCGTGCATTTAATACAGATAATAGAGAAATAATACAAATACGTAAAAATCAGTAAATTTCAGTCTGCCAAGGAATATCTCCAAAAAATTTTTCAGCTAATATGCGAAACAATAAAAGATCATCATTTATAATAAGTCCCAAAATTAAAGTTTAAACAAATGTTCCAGCATTACCTTGGCTTCTCCAAATACGATGTATGTATCTGAGGCAGGATTCTTTAGCACGTCTGGTTTATTTATTACAAACAAAATATTCTTTGATTTACGAATAGTTACTCTGTTAACTCCTTGCACCTATAAGAAGGGAGGAAAGTAATGAACATTTTTTTTCCATCAAATACAACAAAAGTGCTAGGTATTTAGACGTACAGGTTTCAATCCTAATTTGCTCATCAGCTTTCTGGCCTTTTTCTCTCCACGACTCTGTTTGGCTTTAGAAACCATGTCGAGGGGGAGACCGGTAACGGTTGTCCCTGGGAAACCAACGGTACCTCCTGCACGCGCATCGTCTAATTCCGGGACAGTATCATCCGAATCTGAATCTGTTCCAGAACCTGCTGCAGCTGCTTCGACCTTAGTAGGTTCGGAGCTCATAGCTTTGTCAAGTTCAGTTAGTTCTGGCATGTTTATTTATCTGCAGCGAACAATTAGTAAACATTAGGCATGGACAATATACAAAAGCTGTTCAATAAATAGTGATTGAATTGTAAAATATAATCACTCTAAATTATTAACAATTTATGCGGATCTATTCTATATTCTTCATCGACGATTCATTTTTATTCCTGCAACATCTTACGATCTATAAGGGTCGTTTATGAAACCCATAATCATTCTATGAGATCCGATTGCACGTGTTTCATACCGAACTGACAAAATTCACCCTGCCTAACTTGGCAGTGAATGCTTTAAAATTATCCGTGAAGATAGAAGATAACACATACGGGTGGAAAAACAACGAAATTTAATGATAAAATGAAAATTATTCGTAGGCGCAACGAAAATGTAAGAAAATAGTAAACATTTATCGAACAATGATTGTCACAGACAAATGGACGTTGTTATGGCGCCCAGCATAGCTTGACAAAAGATACTTGTACCGATTAGACCGACAGTTTTCTTTGTTTCTTATAACTAACTATTGTGAGATGTTCGAACATATTTCTATAAACACAGCGAAATCGCCACGGGCTTCTAAGGGCACATACAACGATTTAATACGGTGTTATCATGCACGGCGAATTTCGCGAAGAAAGATCGTCGAGGCACAAACATCTCGCACGCTAATCGTTGACAATAAATCGTATCACACGGTATGATTCGCGTAGAAAGTTGCTTTGATTACTTGTCTCTCGATATTCGCGCTCTTTTACTATCATCAAAGAATGATGCCGAAAAAATCATTAGATTTACCTCGAACGAGTGTCCGTCGACGACCGAGCACTATTTTTACTATGTAAACTGAGACCGATTCACGCGTGTGCTCAAACAGGCACAGTTTAGCACTTTTATGAACGCAATGCGTTGTCCAAACGATTTATTAAATCAGCATCCACAATCAACCGCGCGAAATTACGAGGAAATGCGGCATAACTTTATGAAATCGACCTCCGTTTGAAAACAATGGCGGTTAAATTTTTATATGAGCATTTCTCTTAAAAAAAAGCGGCGCTTAAGATTTCATTTTTCAATTTTAGAAACAACAGAACTTGATTTCGGTCGTGACCGATGTTGCATTATATTGAAGACGAACACCAATGTTATGTAAATTTATTAAAAAGTATATTTCCTTCAACAGTTATTCAAACATCTTTGATCACCATGTAAATAAAAACTTCTTAATCACATACTTTTTTGTTACATCAAATACTATGCTTTAAGCTAAGGTTTGAAACGAAAGCAGTCAGTAATAACTAAAAATAAGGTAGAATAGTGAAATCTCTTTAAAAAGTGAACTTCTTGATTGTTACCGAACGTTAACATTTCTCTGGCACGTAAATAAAGTTGTATTCGTTTTTCATCAAATATTATAGGGACACAAAACCGTGTTATTATCACAATAATACTTATGCTACGAGGAATTCGACAAAAAAGACTGTTCTATCTGAAATTAAGATTAGTCTTTTAGACACAGATATAAAAAGCTATATCTTCTATTACAATGTATATAATATTAAAAATGTAATTAATCTACAAAAATAATATTCGAGTACTACTTTCGTATTTCGGGGATAGTTATTCAAATGAAAATCTAAACATACAATATAAACGACAGAACTGATATAACATTAAAAATTATAAAAATACAAAGGAAAATCAATTTTATTGGGACTTTCTAAATGAAGAGAAAGAAAACAATTTCATCTACTATAAATACTAATGTCCACTAGTCACAAGATAAACAGTCTTGCAATGATTTGGTTATTGACCATAATTTCCAACGTAGGCATTTTGATAATGCTTCAGATAATTAAAGACCTTTACAAGAATAAATAATCTTCTAAAATTTGTCAATACATCGAACGTCTCACCTGGATCTCTAATTATCTCCTTTGCTCTTAATAATATGGAAACATATTTACAATGCAATTAGACCAGCATCAAAATGCAAATATGCTTTCAGGCATATTGTATTACAAATTTGAAGTGACCTTGAACATTACAGAATAAAAAGATAAATTTAATTACATAGAAAATCTTTTCGATCTATTTAAATTATGTCTTACAGATTCTCCCATATGATTAAAAACGAAGGAGATATTTAAGACTTTTCGGTTCTGGCGGTTCTGTCCTCAATATCATGAAGCTCCTTAATTTCAACAGCAGAAGTAAACGCCTTTTGAAGGAGTGTTACAAGACATTGTTTCAACAATATCTCCTAAGTACGTGATCATTTTGCTTCAATTCGTAGCTTCGCAAAATCGCAACAAGAGTTAAACATGAACAATTTGGAATGAATTTCGACTTTTGAGTCAGAGAACATTCAACATACTGTGCGTTGCTGGAAAAATTCTCCAGCGTAGTCTCTTTTGCTCATCTTCTTTCCAGCAACACATAGTAGATAGTGCATATACTATCTCTTCTTCCAAAGCTACATCAGCAATTTAGTATTTACAGTTTCGCTGTATGTATGTGCTTATATACATATTCAATGCGAAACGGATTCGTCGATGTCCATTTTTTCCGTACTGTCTTCCAGTTCATCTGCAATTATTTCTTTTTTATAACAAAAACTAAATTAAAAAGATAAACTACAACTGACCGCATTTGTTTTTACGGTCCTCAGCAGTATGTTCGGTTGTTGCAGATTCCACTGGTCCTCTGACTACTTCGATATCTTCAGATTCTACTGTACCTCTGACTACCTCGATATCTTCAGATTCCGCTGGTTCTTTGATTACCTCAATATCTGCGGATTCCTCCGGTCCTTCAACTACCTCGATATCGGAATCTAAAAATTATATTCCATTTTTTACAACATGAATTTACAATACAGTAATCTATGGTCTATGAAAAAGTATTAAAACCTGTATCCGATGGACTGGATAGTTCAGTTTGTATTGGTTTCTCGCTTATATTGGTCGATAATGTATGTTCGGATGCATTGGATGTACTGTCTTGCGTTGATATAGTACTAGCATCGAGCTCCAGTCTCGGTGCTGCAGATTTCTGCTTCCTCGGAGGATTCCAAGTATTGCAGTAACAACACTTGAATCCTACAATAATTGAAGAAGTATATTTAAAACATTTAATATCACAGCTGTACTTACATATTTAAGTCTTCTTGTAGTTTATAACAGATGTTTACCAAAATATTCGAATTCTTCTTTTAAAGACATCCCATTATGCGAATAGCACTGCCGACATACTAATGCATAACGATTCGCTGGACCATCACCTACTATATAGTCAACCAACCGTTCTAGATAACTTCTTTCGCGTGGTAATATCGGCCGTGGCAGTGGCGATCCTATCATGTAAAAATTTTCATAAGCTTTTATCATAAATTGCCTTAAATTAATAATATATTTATATGAAAAATTACTGTTTTAGACATTTATAAAATCTTTTATCGTTTTTCTAACATTTTAAAGCCTAATATATTTAGTTTCAAAATACTAACGATAACCCATAACTGGAATAACTGGTCTAGCACTGCCCTGGAAACCAATTGGTGTAGCCTGAATGGGAGCTATGCCAACTGGGACAAGGCCAGTGTTACCGGGTGTAACCCTTGGAACGTTTAATAATTGTTTTTGAGATGTCAGTACTCTCTTCCTCAGTTCTCCGGTATTAGGAGGGGATGCCATATTTTGTGGTGACAAAGAACGATGTGGTGTTTCTGTGGGTGGTGCTATTCTATAAGATGACTAAAATAAAGTTTCCTTTAATCTCCATTTTTTGGCATTCGTTCTATTCAAAATATTGTTTCTCTACTGTTCTCATAAAGAAAGTAAAAAACCTAAAATACAAACCTGTGGAGACAACTGAAATATAAAGAAAAAAAATTTAATTAACCGAAATTTAAATAAAAAGGAAATAACCTTAACTTTAAAAAATCAAATTATTGTATTGTATACACTGTTTTACTCACAGGCGTCATTTTTAATTGATCTGGGGCAAATTTCAACAGAATCTCTTTAGCCTTTTTGTAGGTCTCAGTCTCTGTAACTTCATCAAGGATTTTCTTTTTTTCTAACTGTATTGTACTTAATTTCTCCTGATTTTCAGAGATTTTACGTTTATAATACCATGTGACCATCTTTTTTGTGAGCAATATTCTATAATGGCCAAACATTTAATTAATATATTTAATTAGTAATTTTAGACGAAGTCAGCATTTTAGATACACAAAAATCAAATACTTACAGAATAGGAAAAATTAATAATGGAATCATATAAAATATTTGATCATACAATGATGCAGGAAAGAAACAGAAATAAAAAATTAATGCAGATATTATATAAAGAATCACACTATACAAAATGAGAGTGCCAACAATTCTTTTATGCCTTTGTTCTGTAGTGTGTCCATATCTTTCAATCTCTTCAATTTGCTATATTACAAAAAAGAATAATTAAATTATTAGCAGACTTCATGCCATAAGCATTAAAAAAAACAAAAAAAGAAAGGAACAAGAATTCCTTACCGAGTCCAGACTTTCTAAAATTTCAATAGTGGTTTTCTTTTTCTGAAATATACAAAAGGTTTGTTTTGTTATAGCAACTGAATCAAATGAATTTATCATTATGATTCCAGGGATGTTTACGAAATAATAATTAATGCGTAAGCTCGTAACTACATGTATAGCATATTAATTCATAGCTTCCATTGGTCACCGACAAACCATTCTATTCTATCGATAATTTTTTGTCTATAAGAAACTATAGGCTAAACCTACGATATCTATGTGAATTCGATAAAGAAAAAATATTTTGCCAAATAACTCACTATAAGCGTAATATTCAGTGTAACGTTCCAAGTTATTTTTAGCTCAACACAAAAAATTCAGACAGGATGAATGGAGTGTCATTGAATGGTAATATTGTATCATATGGTAATATTTTTGCATAAATTACTATTCAATTCTGATATATCATCAAGTACATGACCTGGAATCTTATTAAACCGAATTGAATGGCAAGCTATGACGTTATAATGACTTGCGCGCACAATATACATTTAAACAGCTCCAAATATGCTACGTCTCATTAAGCTCCGTTTAAATTCTTCTTAATCTTCGCGCCTAACCTCGAAATACCTGTCACTCGTAAATCTGTATCTTTACGACGACTTGATCCTGAGTTCCAGGAAACAGAAAATATCGAGTATTTATCATTCCCGATGCTTGACGATAAACCGTTTCTGCGGAGCGATTTCTAAATGCACAGTAAAAACGCGTGATATGGTAGAACGTTAACCTTAAAACAATCTCGAATCGTCGATATTACTTCCCTAAATATTGACACACAGACTTACGCGAAATCTTGACAATATGATTCCCATGGTGGCGACAATTCAACAGGACCCCCGACGAGGCGATAAAGATTGTTCCGACGAACGTTAGCGAAACGGTTGATACCTCGAGGTTGTCAAAGTCAAAACAAGAGATTCGTTACGAATTTTAAAATAACTTAGCCGGGCGGTATCTGGTGGTAACTGCTAACAGTCGCGCGACCCAAATTCGAATTCCTTTGCGTTTTGTCCCGATATTTATAGACCCAATACTCTATAAACAATTCCCGAACGACAGTGCCACAAAATCCGCTATCACGCCGCGAACAGTAAGTGTTTTCAATCGACGCGCGGAACGTCCGTGCAACGCGAACACATACGTATCGGCGAAGCAACAGATGTCGGAGACCTCTTTATTTCTCGCTTGTCACTTTTACTCGTTGACTCGTTGCTAACCGATCAACGACAGAACTGGACATCTGTAGTCGTAAGACAGAACGATGCATATATTTGTCAAAAAAATGTTCAGAATCAATAAATTTGTACGGAAATAATTTCTCCTTTTTAATCCTCGTGCGATCTTTGGTAGAAATTGCATGAAAGCTCCCTCCTGGATCTCTCCCAGTTTCATCTAAAAAGTTCTAACAAAAATGTTTCGATCTCGAGTTTTTATTGGAACATAAACTCATGTATTTATTGATACTTTTTCAAGTTATGGTCTATTTTTCAAAAAAATATAGTCATTACAGCTGTCCAACCTACCTCAAGCATATAACGTTTACAGACGTAGGCTGGACATTTATTATGACCGTTAACGTATCTCGAGCTTCGCGACACCAATTAAAATGACGTGAAAAAAGGCTGAGTAAATTGAGATAAGACATGTAGATTCTATTACTTCTGGCAACTGGAATAGATTAATGTTTGAAACATGCAATTTCTGTCGTTTTGCCTTACAACCACAGTTATTGTCTCACCGAAGCGCAACTAAGCCTCGAGCGGATCGCGCGCACCGACTGTCTCACTTCGCGAGAATTAATCGCAATCGCATACGCCGCTCGGTTTCAAACTGCGAACCGAACCGAGTCACGAACAGTCACGAACCACTCTCTTCCTCGTATCAGGTAACGTTCTGTTCGCTTCCCGTATCGATAAGGAGGAAATGTAGACATCGAAATCGCAGAGACTTTGCGGAGTCTCGCGATACCGATAGTCTTCTCCAAGGTGCTGTACGAGTAACATTTTTAGTGGGAATACTATAAATAGGAGTGACGCGTTACGCCCGTTTACTTACAGAAATCGATACATCGGCACTACTATTTTTAATAAATATAAATAATCCCCTTCTTCTAGATGCTTCCATAACAATTCCATTATTTTGATTTAGTCACTTCGTGCTTGACAATTTTTCACTCTCTTTACGCAACAATGTGCAAACTAACGCAACAAGAATAATCATATTTCAAGCATATTACCCGAATAACGGTCAAGCCTGGCTCACCTAATTACATCCGACTGCATAGAAAAAGTAACAATGCATATGTTCTTTTTTCCGTTTCTTTGCTTTTTTTTTGAGACGTCATGGTCGCATACATTAGGGCGACAGCGTACATATTGATCGTTTTCAGCAAGATTTATGCAGACATAACGAATACTCGTAAATCATCAATGTCGTTAACAGTTTAGGAAGAAACAATGATGCCAATGTTATCGTCAACAGCAAATTTAGTTGTTATGACACTCCGAATGTTTTGCGTGTCTTGCTTTTGCACAAAAAGGCTTGCGTTCATTAACGAATTTAACGCCGCCGTTGTGCAATCGTCTTTGCAAGAGGGAACAATGCTACGTGCTTTTTTGCTTCACGTAGCTGTAGCTGAAAACAGTTTTTATCGCCGTGTGAACGAACTCATTGATTATGGGTACCGCTTGCTCGACCAGTACTACTTCCGCCGGCGACATTTTCGGCAGTCCGAAATTCGTTTGCACTCCGCCCGGGCCTAATTGTAATTCGGTGGTGAAAAACCGACAAATCGGTAACACGTTCGATCGAACGTAACCGGAGGTGTAGACATTCGGTGATCCACTGAGTCCACCGGCGAGTGCAAGGATAAACTTGGCAGCGGCTGCAGCGACTGATAAAATCGGTCCCCTGCCATCGATGCTTGCTATTTCCTTATCCGCTCCACGCAGCGACTGTAGTAACATTTCTTGTTGCACCTGTTTACATCGTGTTCTTTTTACTTAGCTGTCGACAAAAATGTAATTAGAAAGTTAACTGGTTCTACATTCTACGGGATGTTAAACGATTGCGGGACGCATGAATATTCATAGAAAATCAAAGTATGGTGATACTTAAAGAATCGCTCGTCTACTTGATTTCATTCTATTTCTATAATTGAGATTCTGCAGTTTAGTGAAGACTGAAAATGACAGTCTAGGCCATACTGCAGATTATTCTATGACTCACTGTTCTGGTCTTGTGTAGAACAGTGCTGCCTAGGACAATCTCCGCTCGTATTTGTTCTAAAGCGATTTTTTAAACATTTTTGTGTTACTGTGTTTCTAATGGATATCAAACTTATCGGTTGATCAATCGATCCGCAAGATAGTTTGTCTCAAGTGTTATCTCAAGATATGAAACATTTTGATAATCTTGTTTTAGCGATTCATCGATCATTAGTGATCGTCCCACGTTCTAATGAGTGTATCTTCGTACATGATTGAATCGATTGATGGGGCTGCTTCGTGACAGAAGAGGAACAATGGTGTATGGATCTGCACCAGCTACCATAGGAATCGATAGGAATGCCGGATCCAGATCGAGGAGACTCGCGGTTGTGGCTTCCATTCGCATGCGCAGGAAAGACGTAGAACCGATGATCCTGTCCGGATCCCACCATCCACAGAGCTTGTAGATCTCGGAGATCATGGGCAGTGTCGCCGTTACCGGTTGAACGAAAACGGCGACCAATGCGTCCGAGCTCACCGTTACCATTTGTTCTGCCATCTCGTACACGTACGATGCCGCAGATTCGAATTGAATCTTCGGGTTCAGATCCACCCCCTTTGGCTCCGATTCATCCATTAGAGCGATTATGTTTGCCTGCAAGTAAAAGTATTTTAGATCGAATGCATAACATATGAAATATACAAAAATTAATTTTTTTGGTAGTCTAACAAAACGTAAGAAGGGAACAGTAATGAACATACTTGCTTCAGGGCGTTCTTTATACGTTTCTTTGTGTAGTGCTTAATTCGGGTGGACGTGTCGATATGACTTGTGTCTAAAACTGCACCAGCCATTGTGTTCGTCGTGTCCACCAGGTTCAGACGTTTTATTAGTCGGGATTGTTTTAAAAGGGCAGCCGTGTAAAGCGGTGCCTCACCACCCCCAATTATGCAGACTTGCACGTCGCCCTTCTGATCCGGGAGGAAACAGTCGTAGCCATTGAACGCATCTATCGGATTAGATCGAGTCTTCTCTATGGATTTCTTTATGTCCTTGCTGCTCTCTGAACTCTTGCCCTTTCCATCGTTGGTCGGCATTTTTGAAATGTTGCGTCTCCAACCACCTCTTCTGATGGATCGTAGAAAAACAATCATGATTGACCATTTGTTTTGCAGAATGAGTCATTGATGTTCTTCCTTATTACTTTCGGAATTTATAAAACACGACAAATACTGATTTAACCTAATATTATGCTAACTAATAAAAATAACTGGTGAACAAATGAATAGCTTTATATAAACGAGACCTCCAACATATTTGTGTGTATAAAAATCTGTTCTCCTAACTTATTTCACAATTTGCTCTTCTTTAATATCTGCAAAAATAATTGTGGAATTAAAAGAAACGTAAAAAACGAGTGGTATAAATAATCAAACAGCATGTAAGTATATCAAATATATTTTTACTATATCTTAACAATTTTATATTTTCTCATCATACGTGTATATATATATCATATATGTATATATGTATATAATTTACAGTTACGTGTATTTAACAATTTTTTAAAGTAATCGAACTTTAAATACATTCAGTCTGCTGCGACGATGATGTCAGACATATCTGGAAGAGACTGTAATCTCAATGTTTTTTCATTTGCTAAATGGAGTAAAGATACAAAAGAAATGGGGAAGCTTAACGATTCTGCGTTACTCTGTGACAACATATTCGGTAATTTTTTATAAATCTCGCTGAAGTGTTTGTCTTCGTTTATCTTATTCTCAGTTTCTTGATCTACCTCCTTTTGAATATCTGTGGTTTCCGTGTTATTAGACGCGATCATGCATTGCCAGATAGATTTCTTTAATTTCCGCATATCAATTTTCTTAGCGCGAACGCTATACGCGATAGCCACTTTATTTGTTAATTTGGGAACTGCGACTAGATTGTTTCCAGTAAACTTCTCATGAATATCAGACTCGTGACCTTCATTATTGGCCTCATCTGCTTTGTAATCCGTGATAGAAACATTGGGACAGTAATTTGATGTGTCATTTTCATTATTATAGTTATATATGTCGATGCCGTCAGACACGTGAGTAACATCTAAGTCATCCTTGTTCTTCAAACTTAGATCTATTAGCTCATGAAGGTACAATTTGTTTACGTTTGCAATGTCGTAATGAAGATCTCGAGGCAGTGTAACTCTCGATTCGATCCAAACATCTTCGGCACGTTTGATCCGTGTTCTTCCAGAGATGGCCAATGAAAACTTTGCTGCTACAGCTTTCTTAGCATCGTTGTCGAAACGTAATTCTAGTTCTTTCTTTTTTCTACCGTGTCCTTGGGGACATGTTTCTATAATGTTACTTCCCCCTAAAGCTTTGCTGGTATTTCTTACCTTCCAATGTGTTGGACCAGCCCAGTGAATGTTTTTATTTTTCTGTAGAATGGAATACTCTGAAGAGCTTGCCAACCCAATCTTCGTTATCGCTTTATAGAAATCTGTAAGCACTTCTACTGGTTTCTGGATGTGCCTTTCGATATTTTCTTCACTATCTTCCTCCAAATCAGCATTGTAGAAATTTATACTCGATTGAATTACTTCCTCTTCAGATGGAACACTGGCATCCAAGTCAAATTGAAATCTGTTTTCAGCTTCTTTTTCTTTTTGAGTTTCTTTATGTTCTGTTTCATTCTCATTGATCCAATTGAGAAATTCGAAGTCAGCTAATGGTGGACATATATGCGATTCACAAATATCTAGTCGTGGAGTGCTTATTTTTCCATCCTTAACTTTTCCTTTACTCTCCACAGTATCAACGATAACGTCATTATACAAGTGTAGATGATATCTGGAATTTGCATGGTTTGGCAGCATTACTTGGTTTAACATAGCTGCACTTTGCGTGTCATCATCTCCCACCAACCACAATGTCGGTTTCAATATTTCTACGCTACCTTTTAAGTTTTCAAGAGTGCTAAAAATTTGATACTTGCATCTTCTCTTTTTTTTCTTCCCTCCTTTTCCTATGTTATCATTTTGATGCTCTTGCACAGTTGAATTATCTGCCTGGGTGTCATTTGTTACAGGTTCATCTACTTGTTTATCTAAACCACCTGCAAGTTTCATTATTTCTGTATGTACACTATCTACACGATACCCATAGATTTTAGTGCTGACATCTAATGATACAGTGGCTACTTGCAAATTGGACATGTTTTCATCTTGTTTTTTGATCATATATGTCATGAAATCAATTATTTCAAGACTAAATGCATTTTTTACATTAATCTTGTTTTCTGTACCAAGCTTTATGCATTCTGTAATACGATTGGACATTTCAGGTCTTGGTATTTTTGCCAGAAAACCAAGACCTAGAGATTGTCTTTTATCATTTGTTTTTTCACAACGCCTGTCCAAACGTTCAAGTTCATCATCATTTTCTGGTAGAATAGGGATTGACACATTTGGTGAGAGAATAGACTTTCGTAAAGACATTAATGAGGAATTCATTAGTGAATTACTGTTTGGTAACGCAACTTTCTCATTTGTGCTGGATATCATTTTGTAATTATAATTAGATTCATGCAGAGTAAATAATTCCACATATGCCTCAATAAATTGTATATATCTTTAATCACTGAATTAGCATTTAAGTTTTTTATTTACTCAGCTGCTTTCATATTCTCCAGATCTGTAATGTTACAAAACAAATTAAAAATGGCAAAGCACCGAGTAATCATTTATAAAAGCGACAGTACTATGGACGAAGTTCACAACAATTTTTCAGTTATCTTATAATTTATATTATATCTTATACTTTTATAATAGATTGTACTTTTTTTTTTGGTTTATTAAAGTTTGAGAAAAGTATACAATCCTCTCCTTTGGAAGACAGGCTGTCACTATTAAGCGTACTAAAAGAAACGATTACCGTTTAACGCAATGAAGTTGCTCATGATCTTTTCCAGCTCGGATCTTATCAATTGTAATAATGCATAATACTGTTCTAATACGTTCTGCATTTGTTGAAGCGTTTTTAGTTCATTTGAGAGATCCTAAAAGTAACGGACGTACATTACAGATGTCAAAACATCGGTAGCAATTTTATCACATTGTAATTAAAAACATACTTATCGCTTACTTTATTTTCCATTTATTACAGTACTCATTAAAATGATTCTAAATTGAAATAATTTGAAAAAATAAACTATATATTCATCAACTTTTGATCCTATCGAAAACAACTTCTGTGAGTGTGAGTACATACGTTCAAGTTTGAATTTCACACACGTGTTCCTAAAACTGTTTGATTCTGTCACCTCACGAACAATCTTTCTTAACTGCGTGTGTTAAATTATTTAAAGACAATGGTAATGGAATATAGCGAAATATAAGTGTGTGAACAATCAGCATACAAGTACCAAAATATTTAAAAACTTTACGACAGATTAAAGGAAAATGAAAAGGTGTTTTGAATCAACAAATACAAATAACATCTATGAATTTTCCTATCCTTTTCCTCCAGCCAATAGGAAAATTGAATATCCTCAGCACTGCGGTGATCTATTGGTACTCTCGTTTTATTGGAGCTTGATGCTCATTGGTTATACAGTTAATGCGTGCGCAGTAGAAGAATTGGCCGCGAAGATTTGAACCAAGAGAGAGAGGTCCGAGATCTACTGTTCCAAATGGTTCATGACTTCGATGCGTTCTAACAAGATGAAAGCAGCAAAACTGCTTAAACTTTTAATTCGGATTCTATTTAAATTTAAATTTTTTTTGCAATATTTCGATAGCTGACTCGAATAAAACAATTTCTTCTTTGCTAGTTCAAAAAATTGAGACCACCCGCCAGTAGACAATATATGGTTTCGTGTTGTTGGCAGTACTGCAAAATGTGACAGGTCAGTCTGCAGGAATGGCGACTATGATGGAAGAACAGAATTCGGTTGACATGGGCAAAGATAAAGAATCACAGTGAGTTGTATTCAATTAAATGTATTTAAAAGACACTGGATCTATATATTATGCGCACCTATGAAAAAGTATCGTGAAAAAAATACCACGATCTTGATTAGATCTCTGGAAAATAACCTAACGTACGACACACTGCACAATCTTTAGCAATATTTTTTAATTTTTACGTTCGTTTACATTCCAGATTCGATGAAGTCAGTTGCAATTGGGTGGACATCACCCAAGAGTTTTTCGAGGCCATCACAGGTACTTGTGTTTAAAAATCTGGTTTTCTCGCATGTGAACGTTCGCTCGAATCTTTTTATCTTTTTTGTTGTCCACTTCTTGCTGTACTCTGAAAATCGAAACAATGAATTTAATTCGTCCAACTAGTTTTGTACAAACGTAAACATTGGATTGATTATACTGAGATTCTTATAAAGTTTATTTAAAAGTATTGCTGATAAAAATTATTGTATCATAATGAATATTGTTGTTATTTAATGTTGATATTTAATGCATTAATAATGTGTTTGTTTAGAGCTGGAGTTAGGGGAACTTTTGCGTGATAAATTGTTTGGATTATTTGAAGCAATGTCTGCAATTGAAATGATGGATCCAAAGATGGATGCTGGCATGCAATGCAACAGGGGCAGCAACAAACCATGTACTTTTTCACAGGCTGTTGACTCTGGTGCATTAAAATTGGACAATCTGACACCATCCGAAGTTATAGGAATAATTGATTCAACCTATGCGTGTATAGTGTCGTGGCTTGAAGGTCATAGTCTGGCACAAACTGTTTTCACTAACTTGTACCTTCACCAGCCCAGTCAAATAGTAGATAAACCTCTGAAGACTTTTTGTTATGCTGTGTACAAAATAATTGAGATAATTAAAGATTGCATAAATAAAGCATTAGTGTTCGAAGAAGAAGACTTTCAAAGTGTTACTTACGGCTACAGATTGCAACAAGACATTGCAGAACAAAAAACTTTATCTATGTTACGTGAAGTAGAAGAAGAACTGCATAGGAAAAGTAGAATAAAGCCAGTTGACGCAGAATCTGAGAAAGAAGTAGGTATATTAATTTCTCTCATGATATATTTAATTAAAACGAAGTCCTAAATATTATTATTATTATTCAGTACAATGATGGACTGGCCTTGTATGCAAGAATTAGATTTACCAAATTGTTCTATCAAATCTTGTCGTTAATGGGAAAGAAAGAGCAACTGCAACAGAATTTAAACGACTGTCATAGATTATTAAACAAGTGTTCATACATGATTCAAGTTATGATTAAGACAGTAGATCGTGGAGAGAAGGCTGACGATATTTGTAGGTATCTCATAAGCATTCTGCTGCTTCTCTTAGAGAATAATTTTATTCTTATTTCTAGCCAACTATCCAAATATCATGGGATTTAATCCCATGGTGAATCACAGATTATTACCACCAACATTCCCGCGATACACTAAAATAAAACCGAGAATAGAGGCGCTAAAATATCTGGACGAATTAATAATTAGGATTAGAACGGTCACCATGATTACCAATCAGACCGGTCTTCATGCAGCTTTGGTAAGAAACGGTTTGCGAATTGATAGAGACTTTTAGTATAAATACCAAATACACTGATTTCTTTTTAGGACTATTTTTTAGAATTCTCAAGACATAGTCCGTGTATATTATCTAGATCCATGCTACAGATAGTGTATTTACCCACAACGAATCGAGTATTCGGTGTGCACAATTTTGCCGATGTTCTGAAAGAGGCGGCGCGGAACTTTATCGCGCCGCCGGTCTTAATGCCAAAGAGCACGTTGCTTCAGAATCATCAAGCTAAGGAATACGTTGATAGTTTTATGTCCCACTGCGTCAGCCTGTTCGGCATGCTGTTGCAGCTCACCGGTCACAACAGAGCAAGGCAAAGAGATAAATTGGCGCATCTGCTGGAGGACTTCGCTGCATTGCAGGATGAAGTGAGTCGTTTTAGAATCTAAATCAATTAATACGACTCCCCAAGGATTCTATTATTTGAAATTTGCAATTTCGACAGGCGGAAAGAGTAGATGGGTTCTTACATACGTTGTCTTTAAAAAGTCTTACACCCAGGTCGCATCTAGCTTGTTTTGCAACATGGATTTTGTATCATACGCTGCGAGTAATGGTCATGTACTTGTTAAGCGGGTTCGAACTGGAATTATATTCGGTACACGAATACCATTACATATACTGGTACCTTTATGAATTTCTTTATGGATGGCTTGTGTCAGCCATCACGAGAGCCGATACATTTTTAATGGAGCAGGATGTGCATAACGACGCGCATAAAGGCAGAGGTGCCAAGAAGAGCGCTAAAAATAAAAAAAAGAAATCAACGCCAAGACCGTACGACATAGAAATATTGATATATCAGGCTATGCAAAATATATGCGGTGGATATTATAAAGTAAATTTCGATTCGGCAATTTTTCAGTTCAAAGAAATCGGCAATCTAGTCTACCACTACACGATCTCTTCGCGTTACAGGCTTTAGTCGGGTTTCGCATGGATGGAAGAATACCTCTTCCTGAAGTACAGTTCGATTCGGAACGCGTTCGGTACGAGCACAGGTTATTACCATTTTCTTCGCTACTAACACCGCCGCCAGTTCATTACCAGGAATTCCTAGATATGACTAATGCACAGATGCATAAAAGAAACGTGAGTACGACGAGGAGTTGACCGCGCGTAGTACATATATTTTTAACGATGTTTATGATTTTAGGAAAAGGTTACCAGCGAGATGCTGTACTTAGCTGGGTGTAGACACTTTCATCAAGCGAGGAACATGCTGGAACGAGCCTTATTTCTTTACCCCCAGAATGCATGTGCTGTAAATGAGGTATCGCGAATGCAAACATTCAATTATATACCGTTCCTGTTATTTTACGTTGTTAAAATATCTCATCCTCGTCTTATATGTTTTACAGATTAACGACTTATTAAAAATATCGAAAACTAATTTCGTGGTCTTAAAGTTACTCGCCGGCGGACATCAAAAGGACTCGAAGGAACCGCCAGTATTCGACTTCTCCTGTCACCAACACTTCCCGCTGATCAAGCTCACGAAACTGAACTCTTTGTAATGGCCCCCCGTTTCCACCTGCAAACTGGACATATTATTTATTTTAGCTTTAACCGTGGAAAAAAATATTTTTGTGTTGCTGACATTTCGATGCCTTTTCTTCCCCGTTTAAACCACGAGATTTTACAGCCACCCCCGTCGCTCTTCGACTCCTGCCCACCCCTTGCTCCGCTGCACTCCACTAATTTGTCTCCGTCATTAACCAGTCTTCTCCCTTCATTGTACAGATATGTATTATTTGTCGTATATATTTTGTGGATAAATTTCTATATTAAACGAGAAACGATATTTGTATATAGTTTATCACAGATTGTATATGTTTTAAGTGAGTTCACATGTGGATTACTGAAGAATGAATGTGTCGCTCGTCTGAGGATAAAAGGGTTCGTGATGTTCACAGGTCGCCGCGAGATGTAAATACAACTTGTAGAATGTATAGCTACGAAACGTTGTATAGTAAACAAATTATGCTACGCCGACGAAAACTGTTCACAGTTTCCCCCATTGTTAGAGACACTCACGCGCAACATCCTGAATGTATTACAAGCTTCCACGCAACACACCGATCCGGATGGTAGAACTTTTTTTTACCATTGAGTGATCTCGCAATTCCATTGATCTCATGACCTGGTTTGTTTGTACGAGTACCACCATTCTGATTTAGTCAGGAGACATCACGGTTTATACATTGTTAAATTCTGTACGACGCAGAACGAAGAGAAGAAAGATTGTAACCAGCCCACGTGACGTTGAATCCGAGCGCAGGATTACTGATAAACGCGATCAACAATGATACCTGTAAATCACAAAATTCGTGTGAGAAAGTGATGTATGTCTAATAAAAGTAATAGTCTGACAATGAGATGAAAACCGGTTTCTTTACACTGCTACACACCCTGAAGATCGTGCTGTATTCGTCGAGAAATAAACGAACGTACACCGGCTCTTCAAACGTCACGAATTCTACAAACTTTAGTCTACAATTTACAACTGTCTCCGATTTTAACACGCTCGATGTCTTTTATTTAAAATATTTTGGATTATTTATTATTCGACAGGGGATAATCGAAACAATGATTTGCAAACGAGTAGTGGTGGTGGAAGACCGGCGGATAGAGAAGCCTTACTTGGGAGGATGGCGGCACAAGGCTACCAAGTTGGAATACTTGAACGCCGAGTCGCAGACCGGACCTCGGAAAATGCCGTTCAAGGACACTTGCAGCAAGATGACGCAATACATCACGGTGACGGACGTGGAGACGCAAACGCCGTGCCATCACCCGACGCAAATGTGGCGGTGCTGTATTCTTGATCGAAATGAAAAATGCTCGATGCCCCGAGTGCTCGAGAGATTCGCTTCATTTTCCCACGTACTTTTTCCCCCTCATCGGTCGAAATTAAACGCCGCGAGTGCTTCGCCGCTAGATGAAATTAAACGCGGGATGAAAAGTCCGCGTCGTCCTCTCATCCGTCGTCGCCTCTCGCCCGTAACACATTTTAATATTCGTCTTCGCTTCTAATTATTCGGCCTCTTTCGTTATCCAGACCGGACTGCTTCGTATCGAGCGAGACAGACGAGTACGTCACGTCGAAGCCCTACGAAACGTACGAGGAGATGATGGCGCGATTGGATCACGACGGAAAGGCCCGAATTATCCAGAGGAACTGGCGGATTTACTTGCTGATGAAATACATCAAAGAGTATGCGAGACGGTACAGAGAGCTGCTGGAGAACTGTAGATTGTACGACGAAGAAAGGGACATGGCGTACAAGTACGTGCGTAATTTGTGTCGATCCGCGACGCAAGTTAGTTCTCGAGATATTTTGTTGAAATTTTGGAATTTAGAAACAGACATCGACGAGAGATCCTTCGGAGGACCAACCCGAGGACTCGTCTGGATTTCGACATGCTGTACGATTTGGTGGAGCAGTGGCGACGCGATCGCATCGATTGCGCGAAGAAACGTTTCTTCAAGGCAGCGAGATGCGCGGACGGTTACTTGACGGTCGACAAGACGGTGGAGATGTTGAACGCGATCGATCAGAAAAGGGTGTCCGTAAGAGCGGACTACAGGGCCCGGAAGCGAGTCAAGTTTCTGACGGTCAACTGCGAGTCCGTTCGTTGGATCGGCTACAAAGGAAAGCAGACGGAAATGGTCACCGCGAGGAACCAGAGAGCACGCGAGCTAAAAGCGATCTACGATTCTCTGACCAACTACTTGGTCACTTGCGGAAAGCGAACGGAGATCCTGACGATGCTAAGAAAATCGCTGGAGCTGCACAACTGTGTCTCTGCTTTCAATTTGTTTCGGCTGGTGGAACAAGAGTTAGACTATCTGGCGAGAGGAATGGCGACCGAGATGGCCTTGGACTATCACAGAGAACGGATAGTCCGTAAGACTCTGTTTCCAATATAAGCGTGAACTTTTGTCGACTCCGTCGGCTTGGCTAATTTTCTCTTTGTTTAAAACCGCAGTCGCTTATCTGCACTTTATACGAGCTTCGCATTCGTGCTGCTGCGTGAACGACGACGAAGATTTCTGCAAGGACGTGGACGACGAAAAGCTGCGGGAACCCATAGAGCCGAAGACGAGACTGTGCAAGAGCTGTTGCAAGCTTCATCCCTGTCGCAAGTTCACGGTCCACGGGAGGATGACGAAGCTTTCCACTTGCATCGGTACTACTCGCCGAACATTCGAGATACCGTTTGCTGTGAATGCTACAAGTTCTTTTTTTTTCTATTACGCTACTGGACCCCTGACTGGGTTATTAGCATGCAAATAACGCGTAAATAATTGTATAGAATTACGTGACAATAAGATATAGACGAAGAATGTTACAAGTCGATGGTGTTCAGGATCTTACACAACGAACGATATTTTACGGCTTCCAATCAATGATTCCTTTCGCATGCTGCACGAACGGTTCCTCAAAGTTAAATTTTCCAATTCGGCGCACAATGGGCCTCGAAATGTTCATCCGCAGATATGGTTCGAGGTCCATTTCGCCCGGCGATTCATTCGAGACTAATGTCTGATCATTTGCAGGGTGCACCTGGTTGCGTGAGCGCAACATCGCGCACGTGAATTACGAGCCTTATGTGTTCCTTCTGAACTGCGTTCGTTCCGAAGAGAAGGAGAGAGAATCTCCGTCCGCGATCGCGTTCATGATGCAAAATCACGACATGTACCATCTGGTGAACAACATTTGGCACGGCCGATCGGCGGTCAGCGAGAACCGCGACCTGTTTCTGCTGAAGATGGTCAGGTATAACGTAGGAGAGCCATGGTCGCCGTGGAACTGCATTCTTTTAACCTCGGAAGAGGCGGAGATTCATAACAGGATCGAGGATCTATCGACCGTGTACTCGAGGCTGCTGATCGAGAAGATCGCGATAAACCATCAACAGGGCAGGAATCAATTCAGGTATGCACGAAACCAAGTAAAATTGGCACTGACGGATTACTATAATAATTAGATCGCGGATCTTTACGCGAAATAAAAATTATTTTCGTCGATCGCAACGAACATGGTACAAATAGAAATCTCTTTCTTTCTTCAATAATTTCAGAGAGTTAAAAATAGCATACAGGTGATCGTAAATTCTTTTAATATTAGGTCTACCGGAAAGTTCTGTCCGTTTTTTAATTGAAATATAACACAATTTTCATACATTTAATAATATTTATCGTAGAATATACTTTCCATCGTTGCTTATGACTTCTTGCCAGCGTAATGGCAACTTGTAAATGCCATTTTTAGAAAATGATTTATTTTTAGAGGCGAAGAACTCAACTAGTGCTTGGTTGACATCGGCTTCAGTTTTGAATTTTTTGCCTGTAAAAAGTTTTGCAAAGAGAGAAACAAGTGATAATCGGAGGGTGCTAGGTCTGGGGAGTATGGTGGATGCGACAGAATTTCCCAGCCTAGCTCTGCGATTTTCTGACGAGTCGCCAAAGCAGCATGTGGTCTGGTATTATCATCGGTAGCCATGTTTTCACGATCGCGTCTCGCTTAATAATGACATGAGACATCTTTGTTTCAGTTTATTTAGGAGAGTACATGTGCGTAAATGCAATGATAGAGAGAGATAGTCGTATATGTCTCAAATCAACATGTGCATATGGATTGAAACTTGAAGTGACACTATCGGACAGAACTTTCCGGTAGACCTAATATATTCATTGTTTTTTATATAAATTTCTCCCATACAATTTTGCCATGAACGCATCAAATCCGCAGTGTAATAATAATCGATTCAACCCTGGACAGGCACTTGATGAAACACGAGTGCAAGTACCGAGGGACCTTCCACGAGATTGAAGACAAGCCAGAGTACAAGCCGGCGATCAAAGTGAAGGATTATAATTTCATGTGAGAGACGCGACTCTAGCCCGGGAAAATCGGGGCCAAACATTCCTGCAAGTCTTTTTTCCTCGGGCAAAGTATATTTGTTTTACAATAAAGCCGCGCGGCTGAAAGGCAACCCGTTCGCTCTACAATCACGTTCACCGGCGCGATGGCTCTTCCACAAAGCGGCCATATTTTTTTATGGTTTCTGCCTACAATAATTAAAAACAGCTTTGAAAGCGCGCGCGGCCAGGTTGCCGGGGGGATGAAGCGAGCCGTATGGTCAAGCAAACAACCGAAATCTCCATTTTTTCCGCGGAGATGAACAATCGCGTGGTCCGGCCGGCCGGCGCCGTTTGTCGTGGACGTATAAAATCGAAAAATAATGGACTAGAAAATGCTTTTGACCGATCGACCAAGCAGGTTGCCATTGGCAACGCTGGATTTAAGGCTTTGAGCTTTCAGGTGGCGCGCCGGAGGTCTCCTCTGCCGGGTTCGCGTCGAGTTAAAAGCACCGATTGTTTCTTTCTATCTGTCCTCGGCCCTTTCCGCGGCTCTCTTCGCTTTTCCGCCGTTTTTACCCGGCTCTCGGCCCGTCGCGCCTGTTCGTTTCGATAAATCTAATTCCGCTTCAAGAACGGGGGAGACTGCTCGACAGGCCGCGTCGCGAGCCTAATTTACGGTCCTGGAGGGACGAGTGGCGATAAATTTCGCCGGTGACGAGCGAATCGTCGTCGCGCGTCCAGACGAACGATGAATAATCGCGGCCGGTCTGTGACTGATAAACAGAACGGTTATAAAAGTAATTTACGAGGGAGTAAACAATAAAGCCGTCGAGACCGTGGATACGCTCCTGGAGACAGAGAGGAGGGTCGCCGCCGCGATCGCGCCGGTGCCGGGGTGCCGCCGGTGCGTGTGCGGTGCTGGTGAGTCGAAGCTTCTGCTTGATTTGTATTTATTGCGAGCATCCGCGAAAACGCCCGTATTTTTGGCTTCCCGAGCGTGCATGTTGCTTTTAGCCGTATTTGAATTTTTATCGCCCGAGCCCCGCTTCTGTCCTGTTCTCGGCCTTATGAATTTCCTCGAAATCTGCGCCCCGTTTATTTACCCGCTCGACGTATTATCGCCGCGGAACACCGAAATTTATTCTCCAATCTCTCCGCTAAGTCTTTATCCGTTGCTCGTAATTAACTTACCCCTGCTAAACGGATCCCGAGAACGCCCCGAATATATTTGGAGCACTTGCACGTAGACGATTCGTAGTTGCAAGCTTCTTCGTGCTTCCCTGTCCCATGGTGACAGTTATTTTAAACGCGTTCCGCAGAGTATTCGCGAAAACTTATCATTGTTTTCAGATATCGCAACATTTCTACTCATTGTGCATTCCTGGTCGAAAGTCGACTTCTTTAAGTCGTTACATTTTATTCAACCGTTTCCGCGGAACTTCGTACTTTCCGAGAATGGTTGCACGCCGCAAAGCCGACCAATTCGTCCGACGTTTAACACGGTTCCTTTTTCAGTTTATGATAAAGTGCCTCAGCAGACTCGGAAACGGACTGCGCCGTGCTCCAGAACAAATTGCGTCTTTGGACTGTTAAGAATATGTCCAGAGACGATCCATCGCGAAGCAAGTACATACTTTAGCCAGAACGATCCTGGCCCGTGGAGCGAGATGATTTGCTTCGCGTTGCCTGGTTGCGAGCGTGTTAAGCAAATTAGTGACTATTCCTGGCGACAACCGGCGCGGAAGAGGATCAATTTAGAGAGCGGATGGTGGAAGAGGATCGATCCGCGGATCGTCCCGGCGCGGCGACCGATTTCAACGAGAGTGGCCGTTTAATATTTATGCGCTCGAAATAATTGCGACACGTTCGCGATNGACAGAATTTCCCAGCCTAGCTCTGCGATTTTCTGACGAGTCGCCAAAGCAGCATGTGGTCTGGTATTATCATCGGTAGCCATGTTTTCACGATCGCGTCTCGCTTAATAATGACATGAGACATCTTTGTTTCAGTTTATTTAGGAGAGTACATGTGCGTAAATGCAATGATAGAGAGAGATAGTCGTATATGTCTCAAATCAACATGTGCATATGGATTGAAACTTGAAGTGACACTATCGGACAGAACTTTCCGGTAGACCTAATATATTCATTGTTTTTTATATAAATTTCTCCCATACAATTTTGCCATGAACGCATCAAATCCGCAGTGTAATAATAATCGATTCAACCCTGGACAGGCACTTGATGAAACACGAGTGCAAGTACCGAGGGACCTTCCACGAGATTGAAGACAAGCCAGAGTACAAGCCGGCGATCAAAGTGAAGGATTATAATTTCATGTGAGAGACGCGACTCTAGCCCGGGAAAATCGGGGCCAAACATTCCTGCAAGTCTTTTTTCCTCGGGCAAAGTATATTTGTTTTACAATAAAGCCGCGCGGCTGAAAGGCAACCCGTTCGCTCTACAATCACGTTCACCGGCGCGATGGCTCTTCCACAAAGCGGCCATATTTTTTTATGGTTTCTGCCTACAATAATTAAAAACAGCTTTGAAAGCGCGCGCGGCCAGGTTGCCGGGGGGATGAAGCGAGCCGTATGGTCAAGCAAACAACCGAAATCTCCATTTTTTCCGCGGAGATGAACAATCGCGTGGTCCGGCCGGCCGGCGCCGTTTGTCGTGGACGTATAAAATCGAAAAATAATGGACTAGAAAATGCTTTTGACCGATCGACCAAGCAGGTTGCCATTGGCAACGCTGGATTTAAGGCTTTGAGCTTTCAGGTGGCGCGCCGGAGGTCTCCTCTGCCGGGTTCGCGTCGAGTTAAAAGCACCGATTGTTTCTTTCTATCTGTCCTCGGCCCTTTCCGCGGCTCTCTTCGCTTTTCCGCCGTTTTTACCCGGCTCTCGGCCCGTCGCGCCTGTTCGTTTCGATAAATCTAATTCCGCTTCAAGAACGGGGGAGACTGCTCGACAGGCCGCGTCGCGAGCCTAATTTACGGTCCTGGAGGGACGAGTGGCGATAAATTTCGCCGGTGACGAGCGAATCGTCGTCGCGCGTCCAGACGAACGATGAATAATCGCGGCCGGTCTGTGACTGATAAACAGAACGGTTATAAAAGTAATTTACGAGGGAGTAAACAATAAAGCCGTCGAGACCGTGGATACGCTCCTGGAGACAGAGAGGAGGGTCGCCGCCGCGATCGCGCCGGTGCCGGGGTGCCGCCGGTGCGTGTGCGGTGCTGGTGAGTCGAAGCTTCTGCTTGATTTGTATTTATTGCGAGCATCCGCGAAAACGCCCGTATTTTTGGCTTCCCGAGCGTGCATGTTGCTTTTAGCCGTATTTGAATTTTTATCGCCCGAGCCCCGCTTCTGTCCTGTTCTCGGCCTTATGAATTTCCTCGAAATCTGCGCCCCGTTTATTTACCCGCTCGACGTATTATCGCCGCGGAACACCGAAATTTATTCTCCAATCTCTCCGCTAAGTCTTTATCCGTTGCTCGTAATTAACTTACCCCTGCTAAACGGATCCCGAGAACGCCCCGAATATATTTGGAGCACTTGCACGTAGACGATTCGTAGTTGCAAGCTTCTTCGTGCTTCCCTGTCCCATGGTGACAGTTATTTTAAACGCGTTCCGCAGAGTATTCGCGAAAACTTATCATTGTTTTCAGATATCGCAACATTTCTACTCATTGTGCATTCCTGGTCGAAAGTCGACTTCTTTAAGTCGTTACATTTTATTCAACCGTTTCCGCGGAACTTCGTACTTTCCGAGAATGGTTGCACGCCGCAAAGCCGACCAATTCGTCCGACGTTTAACACGGTTCCTTTTTCAGTTTATGATAAAGTGCCTCAGCAGACTCGGAAACGGACTGCGCCGTGCTCCAGAACAAATTGCGTCTTTGGACTGTTAAGAATATGTCCAGAGACGATCCATCGCGAAGCAAGTACATACTTTAGCCAGAACGATCCTGGCCCGTGGAGCGAGATGATTTGCTTCGCGTTGCCTGGTTGCGAGCGTGTTAAGCAAATTAGTGACTATTCCTGGCGACAACCGGCGCGGAAGAGGATCAATTTAGAGAGCGGATGGTGGAAGAGGATCGATCCGCGGATCGTCCCGGCGCGGCGACCGATTTCAACGAGAGTGGCCGTTTAATATTTATGCGCTCGAAATAATTGCGACACGTTCGCGATCGCCGCGAATCAATTGGCAGCGATTTCCCGACGCGGTTATTAGTGGATCCGGGCCGCCAATTATCGTCTCTACTAATTATCCGGCTCGCGCGGACGCTCCTTTGCCGCGGTCCTCCTTTTTTCGCGATGGTCGTCGCCGCGTCCGAGCGAATGCAAATTTCATTACAACCGGTTTTTCGAATCTGCCGGCGGAATCTGCCTCCGCACGGATCCGCTCGTTAATATTATTTCAAAGTGGGCGGGAATGTTTCTTCCTTACCCCACCCGCACCCCTCCCTCCGGACGGTTCAATCAGCTTTAATTAAAATGCGGCCAGGGCGCCGCGTCGTTACGGTATCGTTGCGGAATATTATTTCAGAGCATTCGCGATTTGAATTCCGAAAAATGTTAATCCGCCGGCCTCGCGGACGATTTCCGTCCGCGCACGCTCACGCCCTTAAGCCGTTACATCAACCATTCCCTTTTTGCATTCCTTCGAAGCCCCGGGCGGTTTCCTCGAATCGGTTTTTACACCCGTGTCGTCCCTTTGCAACCGCCGCTTCCTTTTTCTCGTTAAATACATAATTCATAACACAGAGACAAGTGGTCGCGCGCGCGTGTGCCGCCGCCTGGGAATATTTCGCAAAAATGTTCTACTTTCGGGCTTTCGGACGGCCACGCGTCCGCGGGATTTTACAGCGCCGGCGATTCTCAAAGAACGTTCGCGAATTCGAAGGTAGCCGAGTATTTAAACGGTTGTCTGCCGCTGCGTCGCGAAACAAGGCCGAAACAAAAGTCGTACATTGTTCGCGAGAGCTCCTTGGATACCGTTTCAGGGGCGCAGTGGACCCCGGAGGGGTTGGAGCCGCGGGCAGAAGTAGAAGAATGCATTGTTAACATTCGGACGGCGGGCCATTTTCACAACTGTACCATTGACGGCGTTCATAACAATTCTGAGCTTTGTTGACTAATTTTTCGAAACATATTTTTTAAGGTATTTCCTCGCAGACTTATTTGCCTTACCGTTGTTCACTGGTGTAACAGCAATTTCTTTCATTTAATTGCCGAAAATTATCTAATCGAACGAACGATTTAAATATACCCTCGATCAAAACGGATCCGGTCACCGCCTTGCGAGGGTGTTAAAAAGAATTATACTCGGTGACTAAATCGCCATCGGCGTCGGTTTGCCGATTCGTTCCTTCGTCGACGAGGAGAAACATAACCGAGAATGAAAACGGAGAAATTTTTGACTTTCGGGCCCCGTCCTCGACCGGCGAATCATGAATATTTCATGCGCATATGTACGCGCAGTCGGCTGTCGGCGATCCAATTAAACAGAAGTTAAATTTCCGCGTTCGTATGGCCTCGTTTAATAACCGAGACGTAAACACTTATTCGCTAACCGAGAGGTCGCGCTCGGCACCTCCCCCTCCCCCGCCGTTTTGCAATGCAGAATTCGATTCCGATGACGTCCTCACATTTAATTGCGGTTCCGCGAGCCTCTCTAATACCCCTTGATGCCAGCCGACAGTTTTTAAACTTCTCTCGTTTACGTAACAAGCATTGTTTTTCTTTGGACATCGCCAGGATTGTTTAACACTTATCAAGTTTCTTTTTTACCGAGGGATTTACGGTTTTATACCTTTCTGTAGCGTTCATTGTAATTACGTATGCACGTGTTTGCGGAAAGTGTTCTTTGTAGTGACGAAAAGCGCGCGCGCACACTTTTCACTCACTCATGCTCACACACATATACACACATGCGTTCATACAATTCTTATTTACAGGCGTTGGGGTCGATAAGCTCGGCTTCGGATTCATTGATTTATGGTTGGACAAATGATCCGTTCCCCACTTTACAATTACAAAAGTTATGAAAACGCTTTCGTGGGAATTGGTTGAATAAATTATATTAGTGGAGAAACTATTATGATTAAGATTGTACTTATCTAAATAAATTGGATCTTGTCAATTTTACGGGGCGATGTACACAGTCGATTTTATTTCTTGGTATGTTTAGTGCTTTTTCGTTCATTTATTCATAAAGTGTGCGAGAGTAAAAGAATTCTTTGTTATAGAAGAAGAGATGAAAAGAAAGACGTACGAGGACGATGAAGGACAATAAACAAAAATCGAATATTTACATATATATTTCTTTTATTGTATTACGTACGCTACGCTTTTTTTACTTTCCTTTTTACCTTGCATTATATTTATTTATGGTTATTTTATATAATATATATGTATATATAAATATAGAAGAAGAAACGTAAGAAAACTGTATATAGTACAGGAAAACATAAAGGACGAGAGATTTTATCAGACACGCAAAAGTGTTAACCAGTTGTGTCCGACGACGGTGAATCGTTCTGCCACCGTCAAACATCAATTTCGTCAAACTCGGTGACGTCGTTTGTCCGATAGAAAGAATTGCAGAAGTCATTCCGAGTTATTTAACAATCGCAACGTTAACGACCGAGTTAAATAATACCTGAGCCACGTTCGTCGAATAAATTGAACGAAGCACAGTTCCCGGTCGCGAACGCGGCGTCGATTAAACTGTTGCTCGGAAGGGGCGGCGACGAGAGCAAGAGGTAAAAAAGAATGGGAAGGAAGCGGGCCGCGATGAATATTTCACGGCGGGCGGAACCGACCGTTCCTTCGGCACGGTACCAAGTTATAAATTCCCGTTAATTCGGCCCGGAAGCGGCGCTTAATTCCTTGTTATCCGGCCGAAACGTCGACGAGAGCTTAGCGTATGGAGGCACACGCCGTTCGAGGTTTTACGGCTGATGGAGATCCAGCGTCGACGATCCCGGGGCCACCGGAAATGCACCGACGAACGCGGGGTACCGTAAACCCGCTGCACACCCGTCTCCGTTGCATGAAATGCATCGCGCGTAATGCCACCCCTTTAAACAGGGGAAACACGCATGCTTGGCCGCGACCATTTTTCCACCCACGTTCCACCGACCGTTTCGTTTAACGCCGGCTTAATTAAGCTCGCAATGGCGGCCTTGGGTCGCTTCGAACGGTCGGATATGCCTCTTTTGTTTCTCTTATGGCTCACGGCAACGTTGGATGCTCGAGGAACTAAAGAGGACCGGGACCGGATGTGATAGGACGATGCCAAGGAAATGAGCACGATTCTGATTTGAAACTCGATTATGCCGATGGAGAATGGCCAGCCTTTATAGTCACCGGATACCGGAAGTTATCGTGCTACAGGAGGAAACGAGGAATTTTGTTCTATTTGTCTTTATTTTTTCGGCGAGCTTCTCGCGTTGCGTTAGCGACAGCGACACTTTAATGCTCGCTTTAATATCTGGATTAGCTGTAGAAATCAATTTTTAGCTGTTTTTTTTTTCGCAAGCTTGTTGCTTGTGTGCGAATAATCGAAACGAAATGTGTTGTAAAATGATTTATCCTATTGGTAGGAGTTGTCACTTTTTTATAGCACTTTTTTATATTCACTTAGCATGATAGCCAAGTTTATGCATCGGGGTGGTAGAATGTCAGACGGTGGGGGTTAGGGAGATGACGTATTTTTATATGAACTTTATTGATTTTTTTACAGATTACGAATGGTTGTTTTTCTTGTGCATTCCATACGATACAATGGAATAAGATGGATAAATTAAAACAAGAATATAGAATACAATAAAATAAAATAGAATAAAATACAATAATTTATACAACGACGTATTTTTATATTATTCGTTCGTCACTTTTTTCCCAAACTGGATATGACAGTCTTTACCATAAGTTATTTTCAAGTCTCTGTTTCTGGAGATTATTCTCGTTTCGATTAATCTAGGTGTGCAATGGAAACTTGAGACGAACTCCTGTGAAATTCTGTACAGTGAAATTAATAATTGACCAAGAATTGATGCATGTTCGGAACGACGCGCGATTCCATAATAATTCCATAAACAGGACCACGTGGCGCTGTTTGGCCTGCATTATTCCTAATGACACATAGCGGCATTTGCATCAGGACGCGCTTCCGCTAATGGCACGTGGTCGTGTTTACAATGCGCCACGTGGCACTAACGTCACGGAACCCCTATTTACCCAGCAGCCACGTGATTTTCAGTCTGTGTGCATGCGAAACTGCAATACCGAATAGTATATGCGCCGAGCAGAGTGAATTATTACCGTCCAGCCTGTCCAAGGTAAAGATTAAAAATGTCTTCCTCCGTATGCACCTAAACAACGCTTTCAGACAATTACCCTTTATCGATCCTTTACTAGAAAGGAGTCTTTTGTACGATTTTTACTTTTGTAAGCTTGAAAATCGAGACTGAAAATTATATTTATATTCGCTTAAGAAGACTAAATCTATTATTTAGTACTTACTGGAGAGCGTTTTTTTTTATGCGAATGCATATCTCTTTGGAGAATAGGTAAATTGATGTATGTTGGACCGATATTTGTTTTGTCATTACAGGATTCTAAAAATATAGTTTTTATCTTCCATATTTTGTATATATTTTGCACATCATATATACATTGACCAATGAGAGGTGACAGCGCGAAGTTCGAGAGCCTGCAACACGAGGCTTTGACGGATGGTCGGGACGGACTCGAGCCGCGTTCGAAGTATTGAACAAATCACGAAGCGAGAACTTTCCAGATTTTTTTTTACTACGTAACAGTGATATTTTTAAGAAAAACGCTGTTCACCTTTACTTTAGAACGTCTGAAGAATACTTACTAATTTTTCGGACTCGAAATAGTAAGTAATTTAAGCGTGACGGCCGGTTTAATTTTCTAGTGTGCATGAGACTTTGTGTGTAACATATGAAACTTTTAAGCAAGGTGTACAGTGAAGATTAACAAAGTACGTAAATGATATTTTAATTTAAATAATTCCGTGTCCAAACACCGTTCAACGAATGATTCGCAAAGCTAATTTAATAAATAATAATCGTGTTAAAGGACGTAAGGGATATGTTTGTTAGAGAAATATGAAGAGTATTACAATAACCTTCACATTAACCTTGAGGTC